TTAAAAAGAGAAATGAATGTACATTTTGAATCTAATGTTAATAAGTGTTTGTTTAATTTTGTTATAGTTAGCAGGAAAGAAGAATTCAGCAGGTGTTAATTTCACACAAAAATTCTTCACTTACCATGGTTTTGCAGCCACAAGAGTAGTAAATATCCAAATTTGAGAACAAAATTTGGCTCTCCTTGCAAATCCGGACGAGGGTTGGACGCGGGCTGGACGACTTAGTTCAATTTAGTAGGAGTTCTCTCCCTTGGCCGCACTCGAAACAAGTAGCGGAAAAAGTCACGAATCAAACAAGAAAGTGAGGTCGACATCAGGGCTGCCCCAGATCTGGGTTTTTTTTTTGACACTGCGGGGATATCTGGGGTTTTTTTTGTTTTTGTTTTTTTTGTTGTTTTGTTTTGCCGATCTGTATGCTTTAATAACCGATAAATTTGCGTGGTTAAGGGTAGGGGTAGGGGTAGGATTAGGGTTAGGGGTTAGGATTAGGGGTAGCGTTAGGGTTGCCGTAAGGGTTAGGGGTAGGGTTAGGGTTAGGGGTAGGGTTAGGGGTAGGGTTAGGTTTAGCGTTAGATGTGACAATTTTGACGCCGTAGTTCCCTATAATCGCGCACAGTCACATACACACTCAAACAGTCGACGGACGGTGGATGCTACTGACACAAATAATTCGCCACCGATTGGGCACCAGCCGCCCGCTATTGGCGTCATATTTGGCAGACTTTCAGTGGCGCCACTCCCACAAGCATCAGATTGTGGGCCACTATTTCGACCTCCTACGTGACAATTTTCACATCTAACCCTAACCCCTAACCCTACCCCTACCCCTAACCCTACCCCTAACCCATAACCCTACCCCTAACCCTAACCCCTACCCCTAACCCCTAACCCTACCCGTAACCCTAACCCCTAACCCTAACCCATAACCCTACCCCTAACCCTAACCCCTACCCCTAACCATAACCCTAACCCTAACCCTAACGTTACCCCTAACCAACATCCCTAACCCTAACGCAACCCTTCAGGCAACCGTATGACGACTACGCAACCCTACACGCAACCGTATGATGAATACGCAACCGTACGCAACCTTACACGCAACCGTATGATGATAGGTAAGTATGTCATTTGTTTCGTGGACTTTTTCCGCTACTTGTTTCGAGTGCGGCCAAGGGAGAGAGCTCCCACTAAACTGACCTAAGTCGTCCAGCCCGCGTCCAACCCTCGTCCGGATTTGCAAGGAGAGCCCAAAATTTCAAAGTTTGTTCAATTTCCTAACATTTTATGATAACTTTCTGGGTTAGATTAGCACTCAGGGGCTCTTAGTTCTCACAGAGTGCTGAGCAAAATTTTAGAGAAAAAATGGCAGAAAAATGAGCCATTACACACACACTATTTAGTGTTTACTTTGTACAGTTATTTACAGACTGTAGCTGCAATGATTTCAATGTAGCTTAGCAATAGTATAGTACAATCGGTTCTCCTTAAAACTACGGCCACTTATTATGCACGTATTGGGGCGGCCGGGGAAGTACGCCGGAGTTCAGTCCCCTGGCCGCATTGCAATTACGGAGTGGAACAGAGGGAACGAAAAAATTGGCGATAGCACTGCTGTCATAATAGGGTTAGGGTTAGGGTTAGGACATCCACACCCAAACGATTGAAGGGCTCTGGATGCTACTGAAACACAGAATTCGGCACCAATTGGGCACTAGCCGGGCGCTATTGCCTTCATATTTAACAGAATTCCAATGGCGCCACTGCCACAAGCAGCACATTTTCGGCCATTATTTGCAACTCCTGTGTCAAAATTATCAAATATAGCGGCCGTCATTATGGGTAAGTTCTCGACGTTACATGTGTTACCCTAACCCTATTATGACAGCAGTGCTATCGCCAATTGTTTCGTTCCCTCTGTTCCACTCCGTAATTGCAATGCGGCCAGGGGACTGAACTCCAGCGTACTCCCCCCGGCCGCCATAATAAGTAGCCGTAGTTTTAAGGAGAACGGTACAATCTATTTGTTTAAAGCACTTTCCTTCTCTTACACCATAATTACAATGGGACATTGTCTGTTTAATAAACTCATCAGAATCGCTAGATTCCGAACAGCTGATCGCTCAGCTTCCCTGGTGAAAATTCACTGTCCGAATCACTTTACGAAAAATCTAAATTTTTATTATCATTATTACAATTAAAAATATCTGACTGAAACAATTTCAGAGCCTCGGTTGCAAAAAGACGCATTCTGCGACCTGTACTTGTGGTTGGAACATGGTATTCATGGCACTCAACAACGAACTTAGAAAATTCACTGTTGAAAAAAATGTCGCTGTTGTTTCTATCAAATTCTGCACGTATGGATTAGGCTGAGAAATGAAACTAAAAGGATTTCGGCAGAGTGACGTTCCCTGAATAGTTTAATCGTACCTTCGAACATTAGAAACTAGTTAAGGGGCGTGTGCGAAGCAGAATGAAAGGTATACACGGTCGACGATGACACTGTTGTTTGGGCAAAACGGAACTTCTCAAACAACGCTCACACCGTTGCTTGGGCCTTAAAGAGTTAAATAAAAATGCGGATACTATGCTACATTAGAAATGCCTTGACTTCTGTGTTGTCAATTTTTAATGCAACTACCTTGTGGCTTTCACAGCTGCGGTTGGCAGCATTTTATATGAATATGCATCCACTGGTGATTTGAGAATGTTTTCTCTTCTTCTTCAGCATTACGAGCTTGTGAATTTTATTGCTGAAGATATCCACCACCATTCATCTGTGTGACTAGTTCTCTCTTCCCAGTTGATGACCACAAGTGTTTGCAGCACTGCTTATATATTATCTCCTGGTCATGCTCCTGGTCTATGACCATTCAACTCCCATATTAAACAAGTTTTAGAGCTGCCACAGCTGTATAAAGGCTCACACTTACCATGTTTTAAATGTCAAAAGTTGTTAGATGTCCTAGTGTCATTATCCATATAAGTCCATCAGAAATCAAGGTTTAGATATCTTTTTCATGACAAAATGAAGTTTTACAATGGTAGGGGTGTCGGTCTGCCAATTCAGCCCCAACCTAAGGGGGACCAGAGTGTCTTTGTTGTTAAGGATTAAAATTGTTTAATTATTACATGGTGAGGCCTCACAGTTTTCCATGGTGTGACTCTTATACCACTGTTTAAAAGCTAGCAACTATCTATTTATAAATTACCCAGATGAAAGTAAATCCAATCAAGCATTCAGTTACCTCTGAATGTTAAATGTGGAATTAAGAATCAACACCATAGAATGCGGGACACTCCCATAAGGGCTCCATCCCTATCTTCAGCGGCAGGCAAAGAGTTCCAATTCTGATGGTACCAGTAACTGTCAGATTGCTTATCCGTCACGCCTTGCCCTTAAGTGTTGAGCGTCACTCATACCCATTGGTAATTCCTCACAGATCATAATAATCTCTTTGTGCTCCGCACTGTTCACTGTCTCCCAAAGGGCCCTTACAATGTCTAGCTTGTCATTCATCAGTTCTTTACCAAGTGGTGCAAAACTGACCAGTCTGTCTGCCTGATTTTTCCCCAACACACCAGCATATTCTGGAGAAAATATCCAAAGGACACTAACTACCTGGGACCTCCAAAGCAATGCTTGCCACTCTGTACTGAGCATTACTGCTGTTACTTTGAAATACAGTGGTACCTTGGTATGAGTCTGCTTTCTAAAAAATCTAACTTGGTATATTTCCTGTTTAGACATGAATAGTTTTGCTTTGTATACAATCTTCGGTTTTGGAACATGACTCACATGCTTGAACTTGTGAACTCCAACTCAGTGTAGGCAGGCTGCTACTAGCACAAATCTTTGGCAGACTGTGTAGATACACCTCTTTTGATGTGCAGTGAGCATCCTAGGACAGCTTTCTATCTAAAAGACCCCATTACTTTAGGACTTTCAGGCAGATGCACCAAAACTAATGACAACATCTAGACCACTGTCTGCTGCTGAGTCACTCAAGCTCAAAGAATCCCTGTTACCTCCAGATCACACCTGGCACTAGTCAGCTACCACTTACCATGGCAGTCTCAGTAGAACCTGTAGACTCTTGTCCCTTTCAGCCAGCATGACATATATGTATGCACCCGTACCAACCCCACTACACAGAGGCTAACACTTACACTGTCCATCCTTGAATATCTACATTGACAGCATTCAGACTCCTGATACACCAAATACAACAGGATAGTCTGTGCGCTCCATCAGAATTAAACACCTTGGGAAGAAAAACTGCCACATGACACATCCTCAAGTTCATCCTGTTAACTGAATGAGAGCTACCGAATCAAACAGCCACTGAGCTTTCCACCAGCAGTTGGTTTCATGTGAATCTCACACTTCCCTCACAAAACCCATGGTGTATGTGGTTACCCATATATTTCAGGCCTGTTTCTAAAACTTTAAGTGGCTCAGGCATTTACACTCACCCTGTCAACCTTATCATGAATATCAGTCTGCACTCCCACATACTAAAGTGAATTAGCACACATTACTTACATAAACCATTGATGGAGACCACAGCAAAACCAACAAACTTCAGAATATTAAGCAAATTACCCAACTATCTCAACACATTAAACCAGTTCCTATTGATTTGTAACCACCAAATGATTCTGTGATCAGCGACTGGTCGCCCATTTGCGCGCCAGTAAATGTCTTCACTGCCGGTCAGGACAGTATTTAGGTCTGTCTGCTTTGATAACATCAACATTGCAGAAGTCATTTTTAGGGCTCTTGGTGACATGCAGTGCTAAGCCATTTTATGTGGCGCACATAACCTAGTCAAAATTATAGCCCAAAGCTCCTCCTTCAGGGATGCTGGTTGACTGTGACAATTTTTTTCTCTCCAGAAAATCACCTGCCTACGATTTTCTGTCACCTGATATCAGGTCCATGGCCGAGACAAATGAGCTACAATGATTATCCTTGTTAACAGAACACTTTGAGAATGGTTTATCTCGACTATAATGCAACCACTCCTCTAGATCCAGAAGTGGTTGAGGTGATCACAGAAACTTTGACAACGGCTTGGGGTAACCCGTCCAGCTCCCATGAAGCAGGCAAGTTCTGAAATCAGTGTTTTTAAGAATTTGAGTCTTTATAAAACTCCTTTTGCATGTCTGCAAAGCATAGTTTTTATGACTGACATTTAGGCTGGAAGTGAATTCATCATTATTATCATTCTGTTGCAGGTCCTTTGCAGAACATCGCTCTCATCACGGTCGGCCTGAAAAACTCAGTTCTCACCAGCTCTGCTGCCCTGTGTACTTTCATATTCAAGGAGTTACTTATATCCTTTGCCCATCTTCATGTTTTTCAGCCTTTGCTCCTTCCTGGTACCATGGGGTACCATGCTATTATTTGTTCCAAACCTCCTTGGAGTTTGATGTGACCAAAATATTTCAGCTTCTGAGACAAGATGTTGTTTATTAGGCAATCTCAGTTGATGTTCAGATCTTTTAAAATGTCAGTATTTCTTCTCTTTTTTGTCCATGGTATTCTGAGAATCTTTCGGTAGCATTTTAGCTCAAAAGCCTCTGTTTTCTTTCTTAAGGACTTGGGGATAGTCCATGACTCACATCTTCAAACTGAATTAGGTGGAGAATACGTTCAAATTGTGGATTATTCAGTCACCTTGCCACTATCACCATCATCATCATCGAGTACATTAACTAATTAATTTATAAACATTTTTGTCTTTCTGTTTCATTGTTGTTCATCTTACCTGAAAATAAAATATTTAACCAGTGTATACAAACAAAATGACATTTTATATCAGTGGTGCATTTGGTAAATGATGCTAACCTTATATTTCTATAGACCTTTTGGTCGGTGATGGATGATGTGGTCATCATAATACCAGTTGGCTGTGGTCAGCATAATACCAGTTGGCTGTGGTCATCATAATACCAGTTCTCTGTGGTCAGCATAATACCAGTTCTCTGTGGTCAGCATAATACCAGTTGGCTGTGGTCAGCATAATACCAGTTGGCTGTGGTCATCATAATACCAGTTGGCTGTGGTCAGCATAATACCAGTTGGCTGTGGTCAGAATAATACCAGTTGGCTGTGGTCATCATAATACCAGTTGGCTGTGGTCAGCATAATACCAGTTGGCTGTGGTCAGCATAATACCAGTTGGCTGTGGTCAGCATAATACCAGGTGGCTGTGGTCATCATAATACCAGTTGGCTGTGGTCAGCAAAATACCAGTTGGCTGTGGTCATCATAATACCAGTTGGCTGTGGTCATCATAATACCAGTTGGCTGTGGTCATCATAATACCAGGTGGCTGTGGTCATCATAATACCAGTTGGCTGTGGTCAGCATAATAAAAGTTGGCTTTGTTTCCCAGGACATTCTTCTTCTGCCCTGTGTCTCCCAGTGGAACATGAACTGTGTCTGCCTGGGAGCCAGATTCATTTTGGGGAAAAAAATCTGCTTTGATGTGGATTTGAACAGAAGACCTGCAGGCAGATGACTAGCAGCTACACTGCCTTGGCTATCCTTTAGCCAGAATTTAGCTGATAATTAAAGATAGACAGTTATTTTTTTTATTTTTTTTTTAACATCTTATAAAAAAGAGTGGACTTTCGTGATGGCAGGGAAGATTGAAGGAAACAGAACGAAAAGGCAAAGAGATACACACCTAGATGGCTTAGCCATGTGGATAAGGTAAAACAAGAACATTGAGCTGATCTTTGATTCTAGTGATCATGTGAGTCAGCGAAACGTAGCTTAACTACATCTGCTTGGTGGTCAGTAAACTGATAACTGCACTCAAATGCTCTCCACAACAACAGTATGGGCTACCCTCACTCCATCCTAACACACACGCACACAGACACTCTCTCTCTACACCAATATGCCTGCCACTACAACAGTATGGGACTCAACCCACCGTAAAACACACACATTCACACACACACGAACACTAGAATGCTCTCTACTACAACAGTAAAGGCAATTTCCTATTTTCTGTTAAGGTGTGAAGGCCAAACATGTGATAGCAACAGCCAGGCAGCAAGTAGCTCGGATGGTAGGAGCAAAGCCATCAGGTACTTCCATACAATCTTTTGGTGACCATGCTGTTAACAAATGTCTAATACAGAATAATTATTTCAGTTAAAAATGTGAATGATGTGTGTGTGTGTGTTTGCATTTACCATGTGTAAACTTTGGTGGAAGGTCCTGGTTCTAATGTCACATCAGTACTTTTGTATGGGGTGGAAACATGATGAACAGCTTAGGCAATTACTAATAAACTACAAACATTCATTAACTGGCGCCTGCACAAAATAGGATGAATTAAATGGTATGATAGAATCACTAATGGGAGAGAGCTATGCAAGCTCCAGTGGACCAAGAGGTGAAGAAAAGACGCTGGCGTTGGAGAGGACACACATTGAGAAAATCTGAGAACAGTATAACTAGAATGTTTTTGCATTGGAACCCACAGGGGCATAGGAATAAAGGAAGGCCAAAAAACATATGGAGAAGGGAGCTGGAGAATGACGTTAGAAAGATGGGGAGGACATGGTTTGAGCTGCATGCAATAGCAAAGGATAGAACGACTTGACGTGAGTTGGTTAAGGGCCTCTGCTCCATTGGGGGCTAGAAAGGCAGAAGAAGAAGAAAACAAGACATAAATGATTGTAATGAATGGGTTTGTATTTCTACTCGTTGTCTAGGCGGTGTTCATGCGTGTGTGGTGGATGATATTCTCACACGCTTCACGTTACACAACTGGCACAAGCCGACACCGATGTGAGCTTACGAGACATTACTTTATTGACGTATAAAAACTTACGACAAAAGAGAATCGTCCAGTCGATGTCTAATTGAACCGCTTTCGTACACAAACTCACGCAGCCTTTAACGAACAGTCTTCTGCAGGCATTCAAGCAACGATGGGTCCCATGGATTCAACATTGACGTTTGGACATCTCACACGCTGGCATGGTCGATCTCAGCTTAACACTTCGTCGGCAGGTCTCCTTTCTCCTCAGGCACTCACATAGACGTTCTCACATTCAGACGCTCGTCCTTTCACTCCAACAGGTCGACACAAACTAAACTTGACCAGAGTCAAGTCTGACTTATACCACGGGTTCCTTTCACGTGACAACACGTGGTGGTCCTTTACTTTTCCCGTGGCGACCTTGGGTCGCATCACCGTGGTCCCCGTGATAACTAGTGGTTAGTCACCTATCTCCAGATTCTCGTTTAATCCAAGTATCTGGACTATCTCGGTGTTTTCGGTCAGCTTTGGGCCTTCCCCCCAACCATCCTAAACTGGGTCGAAAATATCCCCCATTACATTCTCCCTTCCCCGTATAAAAAAAAAGTTTACTTTTTTTTTCTCATTATCGTTAATGGATAGGAGTACATTTTATGTAATGCTTGGGTATTTTCACTGGTATCGTGGGTAAAAATTTATTCCACCCCTTTTGGGTAATTCATGTTTTTCCTTTGGAACTTTTATCAGTTGTCATGCCCAGTGAGTATTATGTGGCGTAATGGAATCAACACCCCAGGCAATACTCTTTCAATTGCGGAAGACCATAAAGGCTCTACGCGTTTCCCACCTCATCCCACAGTCTGTCAAACGACAGAAAATCACCCCAGGCACGACTCTTCCAAGTGCGGAAATCCATAACGGCTATGGAACAATAATGTAAACCCGTAAAGTCCCACCCTTGCCACTATACTCACCGAACATCCACTGATGTTATTTCCATTGGATATTCATTTATTTCCCCTTATAGGTGATATGGATTTTATCTCCCCTACCTATAGTGATTTCCCAACAGTCTTTATTACATTTCTAATAATTATCTCCCTTTACGTTTTCAAAAATATTACAATGTATCACTTAAATTTCCTGTATACATTTCAATTGTTGAGTGATATATATTCAAAACATTAAATAGCATATTTCATCGTCACAACTTTGCATTATCAATTTTGAAATATTGTTTACATTTTATATTTAATAAATATTCATATCTAATTCTAAACTATTTCGTCACGTCACCCTATGTCTATGTCCAGTATTCGTCACAATGACATGATATATACAATTTATACAAAATATATATACATATATAAAAATCATATGTGTCGATCAACAATAACATTTCAGACAATCACAACATACATATTATAATAAGACTTACAATCTTGACATTACATCAGGCAGGTGATTGTGGATGCCTTTGATGTGCTGTATTTTAAATTTAAACTGTGCAATCAATAGAGCCCATCTGTACACTCTAGCGTTGTTTGTTGACTCCATGGTCATCAATTTGGTAAGACCTAAATTGTCAGTTAAGACAGTGAATTCTTTCCCTAATAAATATTTTTGAAATTTCTTCAGACTCAGAACTAATGCTAATGCTTCTTTCTCAAATGTGCTGTACTTCTGCTGTGTAGATGTTAGTTTCTGTGACCAATATAAAACTGGAAAATAATGTCTGCATCTGTACAAGATTCGTTTATATCTGCAATAGTTTGATGATTGGCATCACATATTTTAAAATATTGTTTCAAAATGTTGACATGATTTATTTTACAACATAGGTGTTACTCAATTCTGCAATTCATCAGTAATAAGTACTTTTGTACTAGATGTATGCTGCAAGCTGGTATTCACATTCACCAACAGTCGAACAAGTTATCTTATTAAATTTCATGGCAAATTAAAACTGGTTTCAACAATTCAAAGTTTCAGAATGAGGAAAGTGTTTGAAATAGACCTGATCGAAAAGTACTAATTTCAGAAGCACTAATGCTAATAGTGTACCACATTTTAGAATTTGACAACTTTCTGTAGAGATATATAATTTCGAGATGAAAAAGCCTCTGTGAACAGGATAGATAATTCCTAAAAGTTGTAGATCATGAATCATGTTGAAAGTATAGAATAGTTGTAAATTTATTTCACCTGTTACAAATAGAAGTTGGCATAAGATGAACAATAAGTGTTGCAGTAACCACACATAATTGACTGTATGCTGTGAGCGGTTATCTTGGTGTGTTCGACTTGAGTCTCTTAGGTAGTGATCACCTTTGGTTGCCCTACAAACTGTTCTTGCTCTTTTTTCCTCTTCTGGTTCCAAAAACTTGTAAGACTTTTGACTGCAAGTACCCTGAATAAAACTGTTAATTTTACAGTCGTGTATTTCTTGACTTTGATTTTGCTCATTGATGCTCCGAATTTTCTTTTTAAAATACATTTTCCTCTGTTTTTTCTGTACATGATCTTGCATACTGGGTTTGGGATTTGGATACCTGTCTTTCATACTATTACCCTTCTTCCTTTCAGTCTTTTTATTGCTTTTTCTCCTCATTTGTTCTGCAGTCATACTTGTCATTACTGCCACTCTCTCATGTATACCTTTTACTTTCTCACTTTCTGTTATGTTCTGGACACTTCCAGTGTCTATGCTTTCATTCCAGTCATTCATACTATTATTTTCGTTCCAACATTCATCTTTCATTTCTTCCACAGTGGATGCGGGGTTTGGAGTCACATCATTTACTCCTTTGCTCTCATTCCGTTGTTTTTCTCTCATTACTTTCCCACTTGTGGGGATTGGAGTCACATCATTCACCCTATTCTCTTTGATGACTGGTATGTTTTCTGCCTCCCATTTAGTGATGTCTTCCTCAGATATGTTTTCTACGTCTTTCCTGTTACCTATGATCAAATCTGCACTCGGTGATGGTAACATGGCAACATAAATACTCTTTGTTAAAAATGGTGTTGACACACAAATGTAACCTAGTCTGTATGTTTCTATTGTGCCACCAAAAGTTCTACATTTTATAAACTTATGTGTCAGTTCTTCTGGTCTCACTAATGCCTGGCGAATTCCTGATATCGTGGCGCCGCTATCTCTCAGGACTGATACGGTTCGTCCATGCACCATACCTTTGTGTAGTTTTAAACTACCTTGGTCATGTGCCGCTGTGCTGGCATCGTGGATTGGTATGTGGTGACCACAAGGTAGGTTACCCTCAGCTTGAAATTCTGAACAGACAAAGCAGTTATCATTAATGCAACAAACTTCAACAGCGTTACCCTCGTACGTATCAGAACCCGAGTCTTCATCAGACAACCCATATGCCACATGTGCTTCTTTGATCTGTCGCTTAAAAGCACATTGATTACGTACATGGCCATAACATAAACAAGAAAAACATTTTAACACTCTATCGTAGTCACTGAGCTTGTTTTTTCTCTTGGCAATAAGCTCCTGAACCCTCATTGCGTATGCTGGGTTCTTATCGCAAATCGCGTCTGAACCATGTTGTCTGTTGCAATGACTACAGTTGATTGTGTTAACTTTCTTCCTGTTGTATCTCTTGTCTTTCAATGGGTATCTTCCCTGCTGAGGTTTTTGATATGCTGCAGCTCCTGACTCAATGACATCGTTCACTGTTGAACTAAAAATGTCTGGATGGGCATTATAATAACCTTCTCCCAGTTGCTTAATCTGTTCCAGATTTACAGGTGTTCTTTTTATTAAAGATGTAGCCATTTTTTCCGGAATCGATTCTAGAATTTTGCTCCTTATTAATAGGTCTACTAAAGATTGGTAGTCATTTCGAAATTTCGCTGCATCAACCCATTTTTGAAACGTGTTTTGAACTTCAGCTAGGTAATCTACAAACGTTTGATTACTCCTGGGCTTTAGTCCAACGTATTGTTTTCTATAGCCCATTGCATTTAGTTTATAATGGTTCATGAGGTATTCCTTCATATGATCGTAATCCATTTTCTCTAATTCTGGTATTGATTCCAACACTTTAAGTGGCTCAAATCCCAAATGTTTCTGGAAAATCATCGCATAGTCTTCTTTGTTAACTTTGTTCATCCGCATTTGAAGCTCAAAGTTCGTTACATAAGCTGATATATCCTCATTTTCACAGAAGTTCCGTACTATGCCAGTGTATTTCTTAAACCTCTTTTCCTCGGCGTGTAATCTTTCTTTCTCTAGTGCTGCTTCCCTTCTGGATTCATTTTCCATTTCTTGTCTTTTTAACTGTGTCTCTGCTTTCTTTTTGTCTGAGTTAATCTGTGCTGCCAACCTCTCTTGTTCCAGCTGTATCCTCTTCTCTTCCATCTCTTTTTGTTGAGCTAATTCTTTATCTTTATTTTCTTTCTGCAGTAGTAGCTCCTTCTCTCGAAGTACTAACTCTTTCTCTTTAACTATTCCTTCTTGTTCTTTGACACGGAGTTCATGTTCTCTCGAAAGTCTCCTCTCGTTTCTTTCCTCTTCTGCTTTTATCTTCTCCTTCTCTTTCTCTTCTGCTTTCATCTCCTGGTGCTTTTGGTCAACATACTTCCTTAACTCCTCACCTTGAAAACCTAACTCCTTCCCGATCGCAATCCATTCTGCCATACCCGACATTCTTGAATAGGATGATCAAGATTTCCTGCTACTCCTTCTTTTGATCTACAATTATACCTATCACACTCAACAATGATGACACAACAACAATTGAACTTAAATAAATTCAAATGAACGAATAAAAAACTAAGTCGCTAACTACCGACTTAGGGATTAGCTAATCTTATTCTAATATTAATTGACAAAATCTAATTTTATTTATAACTATGTAACTACCCTTGCCTAGATGTAGCTGTAACTGTAGATTGGAAACCGCTGTCACTATAAGATATATAAAGTAGGACTAATGTAATGATAACTCAATCAATAAATCGACCTAGAATTATTCAAGTAAATAATTCACAATCAATAAATAAATAATAATTAAATTTCCTAAGTAAACTCTAACTAATTTAATAATAAATTATTAATTTTATAAATCTCTATTTAATTATTTCACCTGTAATCTAATTAAATAAATATACTAAATAATTTTAATTAAATAATTAGCTGTGAATTAATTAAATACTAGTACTAAATAATTTTAATTAAATAATTACCTATGAATTAATTAATTACTAGTACTAAATAATTTTAATTAAATAATTACCTATGAATTAATTAATTATCTATAAATTAAATAAATAGTTATAGTAAATAATTATAAGATCCTATCTACTAAAGATTTTAACAAAATATATCTATGCTGAAAGTAAATGACACTGCCAATATATAAACTTCTCAAAAATTATGATACCAATAATCATACACAATTTGTCAACAAATTTTACAAATAAGTAATGATGATGATGATAAATCAACTGGAAATGGTATATTTGCCCCCCAAAATTTACAGAAGTAAATAAATAATGATTCAATAATTACCAAAAATTACAACCAGAAATAAATAAAAAATAAACAATTATATTGTTCACAATAATATACTCACAACCTAATAAATTTTGGTATAAAATATAAATGATTGATAAATCAAAATCAAAAAAGATTATTATAGTGTAAAATAATATAACCACCAAGTAATAGTTATTAATAATATAGTTATTAATAAATAAAATATCAGAAAAATCAATATTACAATAATAAATTCTTGCAATATAATGAAATAAATTCAATTAAGTACACCCATAATACCTATAAATTCAATTAATAAATAATTCTAGTTCTATTGATGTCGGTTCTAAAGTAAATCCGAAACGGTGTATTAATAACGCCAAATTGTACGCACACTTGAAAATCTGTCACTTGAAACACTATTAATTTTGTGATAGTCTAAATACACTTGAAGAATCGTCACTTGACAAAAGCACTGTAAATATATCGGATTAAGTTACTTTTTCCGGCACGGCACACGATAATAGTTATATTTCTTGCTGCTTATTATCACAAACTACTAGGAATTCCAACTACTTCTGATATGTCCTGAATATCTAACCTAAACACAGTTTTGCTGAATTTAATCAATGTTTACCTTGTTCTGTCCTGGCTGACACTCTCACTGTGGCCTGTAGTTCCGCGTGCACACACTGACCCAAATTTGCTGTGTGACCTAGTTCGCCAGTTGTAGCAGATTAGGATAATTCTGCTAGCTTTTGCCAGTGGACTGCTGGTTAACGGCAATTTCTCAGCGCTGTTGATAGATATTTCTCAATCCACGCTGTGATGAATGGCGACCCGGAAGTCTCAGTTGACTCGTTGATCGTGAAATATTTTGTTCGCCCTTTTATTTATTCGTGGCTTTTGGCTTTCTTGTGTATCGCGCTGTCATTGTTGACGCGTAGTGGACCACTTCTTCGTCGTAAATGTCATACAGCCATTTGATCTGTTTCTCGTAGGCTTCTTGATGAATTTGCAGAACGACGCAAGGTGCCACGTAACCCAGGGCAGTCTACGTGTCCTTTAACCTTTCACCCACGTGACGACATAACCTAGCGTCAGGCGGTTACGGGTTAAATTTTTTGTCGCAACTGTTCGGTGATTCCAGCAACTATGCGTTTCACCAGATATCGTCTCTTATATGGCCGTCTATCACGATTTTTCCGTTTAGACTTTCAATGGAACCTCATCTGCGTGTACGTGATAGTCTCCGGTATCACTTTTCGTTGCTCTGTTGACCAAACTATCAAAACTTTCGGCTTTCACTGTGCAACTGATGTTTTTACTCGGTGACTTCACAAGCTGTGCTCTCTCATGCAGACTCCGTCACTTATATATCAGTCGTTTGACTTCTAATGGCCCTTCAACATCTGCGTGGCAAGTAGCAGCTCATGACATCATCTCGCCGTTGCTGTTCTGTTGCCCGGTTATCTCCGTTTTTCAAGCCCCCAATTGTAATGAATGGGTTTGTATTTCTACTCGTTGTCTAGGCGGTGTTCATGCGTGTGTGGTGGATGATATTCTCACACGCTTCACGTTACACAACTGGCACAAGCCGACACCGATGTGAGCTTACGAGACATTACTTTATTGACGTATAAAAACTTACGACAAAAGAGAATCGTCCAGTCGATGTCTAATTGAACCGCTTTCGTACACAAACTCACGCAGCCTTTAACGAACAGTCTTCTGCAGGCATTCAAGCAACGATGGGTCCCATGGATTCAACATTGACGTTTGGACATCTCACACGCTGGCATGGTCGGTCTCAGCTTAACACTTCGTCGGCAGGTCTCCTTTCTCCTCAGGCACTCACATAGACGTTCTCACATTCAGACGCTCGTCCTTTCACTCCAACAGGTCGACACAAACTAAACTTGACCAGAGTCAAGTCTGACTTATACCACGGGTTCCTTTCACGTGACAACACGTGGTGGTCCTTTACTTTTCCCGTGGCGACCTTGGGTCGCATCACCGTGGTCCCCGTGATAACTAGTGGTTAGTCACCTATCTCCAGATTCTCGTTTAATCCAAGTTTCTGGACTATCTCGGTGTTTTCGGTCAGCTTTGGGCCTTCCCCCTAACCATCCTAAACTGGGTCGAAAATATCCCCCATTACAATGATAAATTATTTTGATTCTAAATTGTTTATTTTGAATATGATGAAGTAATTTAAATATGTTTGTCAATTTCAGATATCATCTTCACATCTGGAGGCACTGAGGTATGTTCAACTCTGTACCATTCAGTGCTAATGTGATTAGCCATTGTTTATGTTTACCAATCAGTACCCAAGTGTGATCAACCATTGTTTATGTGTACCAATCAGTACACCAAGTGTGATCAACCATTGTTTATGTGTACCAATCAGTACACCATGTGTGATCAACCATTGTTTATGTGTACCAATCAGTACACCAAGTGTGATCAACCATCAGCATGTTATGTTTGAGAGAGGATGAGAGAGCCCCTGTATCAAGGTGCCTAGACATTTGCCTGCCAGCGAGAAGGTCTTCAGTTCAAACACACTTTGTGTCATGTTTTTACCTTTTTTTCTTCTTCTTCTGACTTTACCCTCACTTTCAGTTTCATCCAGCCTAAAAGGGATAACAGGCAAAGTCCAGGGAAATAAAGGCAGCCAGCATGGTGTTAACAACATAACCCATCAAGTGCTGATTGGAAATACAATTGATCAATCTAGCTTTATATACTACCGTCGCTAAAAAGGGTCCTTTTATTTTCACTTCAGTTGTCCAACATTCACATTCAATTCATCTTATGATAACCACACATGCTATTGGAGTGGGAAAGGCTCCTTTGACAGATTGTTATGATAACCACACATGCTATTGGAGTGGGAAGGCTCCTTTGACAGATTCTTATGATAACCACACATGCCAGTGGAGTGGTTAGGGTCCTTGAAAAGATTCTCAATAATACAACATATGGGACTGAAGTAGAAAGGGTCCTTAGAAAGAATCTCACGATAACCACTCATGCCAGTGAATTGGAATGGGTCCTTTATTTGATTCTCATTATAAGACATGAATTGTCAAAATATTCACTTTCTGAATCCACAACCAGGGAAACAACTGGATCTTGCAGACAGCCCTACAGCACTTCTGCAGAGGTTCCAGCAAGATTGGGCTCAGCATGGGTGACTGGAATGATGCCAAGAGTGCTAGAAACAGGCCTCACTTTATCACCTCCAACATAGAACATGATTCCATCAAACTGGTGTTGGAGCATTTCCTTTCCACTGGCCTTGCAGGTAATGACTGAGGCTTTAGAAATATTTTCAGTTAGTTGGATTATTGGGTGAGGCATGAGGTGCTAGCTGTGGAGTAAGATGAGGCTGTTGCTGTTTAGCAGGTGAAATATGAGGCTGTGGCTGTTTCTTGGTGGGTGAGGCTGTTGTTGTTTAGCAGGTGAGATATAAGGCTGTTGCCTGTTTGGCTGTTTGTAACTTATCTAGCTAGTAAGACTTTAGTATGTGGCTTGTGTAGTGTAGTAAGTAATATTTTAGTATGTGAGTTGATTAGGAAGTAAGATTTTAGTATGTGGCTTGTATAGTAATTTAGACATTAGTATGTAATTTGTGTAGCTAGGAAGACTTTAGTATGTAGCTTGTCTAGTTAGTCTGGTTATGGCTTGTGTAGCAAGTAAGGCTTTAGTATGTGTCTTGTGTAGCAATTAGGACTTTTGTATGTAGCTTGTGTTACAAGTTTGACTTTTGCATGGGAATTTATATAAGAATTTAGAATGTTGCTGGTTTAGCAAGTACAACATTAGGGTGTTGCTGGTTTGTCTAGTTAAACATTAGAATGTTTCTGTTTATCAGGTAGAAAACATTGCCGTTTAAGCATCTAATGTCTCCTAGTTCGTTCATCTAAGACACTTTGAAAAAATGTATCAAATATGTTGACATCTGTCTTCATTTGCTATTGTGCAGTTACTATTTTATGGGTTTCATTTTTTATCTGCAACTATTATTTTATGGATTTCATTCTCTGTGCATAACTGGTATTCTATAGGCTCTGTTTTCTTTATGCAACTGGTATCTATTTAATTGTCCATGTGTAGCCTATGTTTTGTCTACATCATATTTTTAATGCAGCTGGTTTTTGACATCATTTTCTATGTGCAACTGGTATTTTATTGACCATTTTCTGTGTACAACTGGTATTCTATGGATAACATTTTCTATGTACAGCTGGTATTCTATGGATAACATTTTCTGCATACAACTGGTATTCTATGGATAACATTTTCTATGTACAACTGGTATCTTATGGATAACATTTTTTTTATGTACAGCTGAAATTCTATGGATAATATTTTCTATGTACAACTGGTATTCTATGGATAACATTTTCTATGGGAAAAGGGTAAAGTATAGATCTCTATACATGCGAAAGATGCATTGGGCATATGATTTTAGATTCACATTTTTATAGACCACTCAGTCATCTCTGGGTGTTGTCAACATGATGCTGACCACTTTTACTTCCCAGGACTTTACCTGATACTCATTTGAGACTGGGTCGATCAGGATGACAAGGTATTGTATGAAAAATCCTGCTGCATGCAGAATGGAACCCACAGTCTTCTGATGTGCAGTTAAGCGTCTAGCCACTACACCACGGCGGTTTCCTTTGTATGTGACAGTGGTATTTTATAGATTTTCTTTCTTTGTGCAGTTAATATTTTAAAGGGTCAGGAATCCTGGAAGCTAGTGGTAAAATATTGGCTGAGTCATTAGTACTGTAACTGGGCTAGTGACAGTATTGGTTCATTTGATAATTCTGACATCTTAGGCATCAGTCTTCAATGCTGGTTGATCTATAGCAGACCTGATGTTCTACTCTGTCAACAGTTTTGGGCAGAGGAGCACATTTGGGGAGGATACTAGACATATCCCAGGATGAGAAAATGCAACCTGAACACCTGTATGTTGTGGCAGGAAAAAACTGACACTTAGCCTTGGTTGGCATCTTCCCCGTGTGGGTCACAGGGCTTGATTTTGGGGACAATAAGAATAGACCCATTGCCTTCCTAAGCATGTTGTAGAAGTCAACTAATTGGAGACTTCCTTTGAAGTCGGAGAGCCTCTGCCTGAGTGGCAAGAAACAACCAGGTGCACACAAATAAGCCAGTAAAATAGATGTACATGCAAAACTCAGTCCGTGGCACAAAGCTAAAGTCCAAATGGACGAACAACCAGGACTTCCTTCAGAGTATACAACTGGTGAACAAAGAAGGAGAAGGTTGGCAGCTGGTCTAAGAGGGAAGTTCCGACAGGCCAACAGAGCTCAACTCTTCTGATACTGGCAGCTTCTGCAGCATGCTAGTCCAAACGTATTGGTGTTACGTTTCCTTTGGAGTTAACAAGAATGGCCAAAAGTTGAATTAGGCTGCATAGGGAGGAACACATAACCTGTACAATAATGTGAAGGCTTTGTGCTATGGAGAGGAGGAACTTAATTTCTGGCCTTAATGTGTATCACCAGGTGACTCCCATGCCTTCTTATAGTACAGTGGAATGGTATCATCTGGAAAGATGAAGAGGTGCCAACAGATCCTCCATTCAGTCACAATACCACTGGATAAATCAACATGCCATGTTTAGGTTAAAGAATTAAGCAGCGTAATGCATTCTGAGGCTTTTTCTATCTGTACAGATGTGACTTTCATACAAGCGAGACCTTTAACGGGTTGTGTGCATGTGCAGGATGTCATCGATGCCATTGGGCCATCCACTATCATGGTGACAGTCATGCTGGCCAACAACGAGACAGGGGTCATACAGGTAGGTCACTCAAGACTGAAGGCTAACATACATGAGTGCAATTTTTACGGGAATTCATGCGGACTGTTGCCAGAGCTACAGAGTTCATGTTCTGTACAGCGCTCTTGGTAGGCAGAAAGCCGTTCTGCAGAGAGAGACTGAGTGATTTGGGATAAAACTGGGTGCAATGTAGTCGATCCTCTCGACTTTATCCTTGGCTTTACACACTGTGCTAAAGTTAAGTTTGCATCAGTTAGGATTACTTTTGTGTTTAGTACGACTGTAGGGTAGAGAGCTGCAGTAGTGTAGCAGCTTGCCTGCCAACTTGAAGACCTATGGTTCAGATCTGCATTTCCCTGTGTGCAATCTGGGGCCACATGCTGGAGGAAACTTGGATAGACCCACTGCCTTTAAGTTATCATACAAGGCAACTAATTAAGGGATGTTTCTTCAATTCAGAGTGCATCTGCCTGAAAGGCAAAGAACCAACAGAAAAAAAAGGCCAGATCTGCTGAAAATGGATGTGCATGCAAAACTCAAGTTCTGGAACAGGACTAAAGTAAAGAAGTGGTTGAGCAACCAAAACTTAACTCCCCCCCCCCCCCATCTTTTTCCCCCTCGGAAAAACAATTTTTTTTTAAACAGAATGACCTGACCAGAAATGGGTAACAGGTAATGTCCTGTGAGGTAAAGATGGCCAGGGTGATGTTGCCCACATCACCATCAAGTGTCAGTTGGTCTAAAAAAATGTTTAGGTCTAGCACTAGATTCCCAGTGCACCTAAGATGTCAAAAGAGTCCTTTACATGACTTTTTTTAGTTTATGTCTTTCCACATCTCTAGAGACTCAGCTCAGCATTTCAATCACTTGTTTATTGTCCTCTCTTGTCATTCAATATCTTTGGAGAACCTGTATACCTGATTGTTTTTTAACGTACTGCAGTCTTTATAAGCAGAGTACATATCCCCCCCTCCCCCACTGCACTTATTTTTTGCATATTTTGAAAAACTGCTTTTTGTAAAGTTTTTTTATCATCTCCTTCTGTGTTTGCCTTTAAAAGATCACTTGGCACATTGTGTTGTAGTTGTTTAAAGCTAGGTTATGCTATCTACAACTTTTCAACCTGACACATCCAATTTCAGTAAATCTTTGTTTAGCTGCCTTATACAAAATGCCTTTTAAGGGATGCTGGGTCTGTGACAATTACCCCACCTCCCCCTACCCAGAGAAATAAAGAGGGCAACTGAATCCATTTATGGAGTAAAGTCTATCTGATTATCATCTGTTTCATATTTCTGCAGCCAGTCTCGGAAATTTGCCAAAGAATCAAGTCCCTCAAGAGGAAAAAGGGAGAGACTGAAAGAATCCTCTTGCACACCGATGCTGCACAGGCTATTGGGAAAATCCCTGTGGATGTTCAGGAGCTTGGAGTTGACTACCTGACCATAGTAGGACACAAGGTTGAGTCAGATTTTATTGGTGTTAAAAGGGTAGGGAATGTAAATAAGAGAAGTTAAGCACCTTTCTCAGCTTCAGACATGGTGTTAGATCCATATTTTTATAGATGAACTGGCACTTGATGGGCCGTGTGGTCAGCGTCACTATTCTTCTTCAGCTTCAAAAGCTCCTGAGATCCATTGCTGCCAATATCACCTGCCTCTCTTCATCTCTTAAAGACGTGAGACCAGGATGTCAAATTGTGAGACAGGCCAGTTCTTAGCCATCAGAAAATTAAGTGTTTTGTTTCGTGAGACTTCTCTTTCCATTTGGCAGCTCCAAGTGTGGGTAGGTCTGCCTGAATATTATCTCTTCACTGTCTTCTTTGTCTGCTTTATGTTCTGTTCACATTCAACTTTTTTATATATACAGTTCTTGTCTCTCTTTGTTATCTGTCATGTTTTCTGGATACCCTGACTATTGTAGTCTGTTAGCTCTCATAATGTAAATAATTGCTGATGATTTAAACAGATTGAGAATTGTATTGATGCTTCTCACTCTTCATTAGTTTAAAGGGTGAAGGGAGAGGGGGGAGGGATGTAATAGACCAACCGCACCCTTAACAAGGATATTGTCAAAGGTGACTAATTAGGGGTGTTGCAAAATAAAATGAAGGAAGCTGCAGGAGATGCGGTAGCTGCTGCTCGTGAGTCCTAGCCATCTAGTTTAGCCCCAGTCCACGCCACGTGAGCGTCGTGGGGAACACTCTCGGCGGTGACGGAACTTGCCGAAAGTTCGCAATTCGGCTGTGGCGGAAGTCGCCATAAGTGCGCATTTTAAGACGACCTAAGTGCGCAATTGACACGTGACTGAGATCCTGTTAGGGTATATTTTCCGCCTCGATAATTTACGACCGTTATTCGGAGAATAGCCACAACCCGACACTGTTCCCAATATAGACGAAGAAGAAGCTATGCCACCTCTAGATGCTACCTGTGAACCATTCACAATGTTAGAACTTAAATCAGCAATAAAAAAACTAAAGAAGAACAAGGCTACTGGCGCAGATGAAATCTCAGCTGAAATGTTAAAGGCAGCAGACGAAAACACCTTACAATATTTGCTACAGCTGTTCAATGATGTTTGGCTAAATGAATCCCCACCGCAACAGTGGAAAGAATGTGTTATATTCAAACTGCCCAAAAAAAGGTGATTTAGCAGACTGCAACAACTGGCGTGGTATCACCCTACTCTCCGTACCAGGAAAAAACTGTTCTGCAGCATGCTAATGCAGAGACTGAAAAAGCCAATAGATGCAAGACTCCGAGAAGAACAAGCAGGATTCAGACCGAATCGGTCATGCATCGACCATATATTCACACTCAGAACCATCGTAGAAGAGTCAGTAGAGTTTCAATCCCAACTCATCATCAACTTTGTTGATTTTCAGAAGGCCTTTGACAGCATACACCGCCCTACACTCTGGAAGCTACTCACAATCTATGGTTTCCAAGATAAATATGTCAATATTATAAAGGCCTTCTACACCGATTCCCGCTGCCTTGTTAGAACGGAATCTGGTAACTCTGATTGGTTCCCAGTAGAAACAGGCGTGAAACAAGGATGTGTCTTGTCACCGATGCTTTTCGGAATAGCACTCGATTGGGTCATGCGCAAATGCACACAGGACACACATCTAGGCATCAAATGGGTCGACAAAGTTCTCGAAGATCTTGACTTTGCTGACGACCTAGCACTCCTGAGCACAACACATCTAGAAGCTCAGGAAAAAAAAATGGACCGCCTCCAGAATATTTCAAGCCAAATCGGCCTTCAGGTCAACGCAGCCAAAACGAAAATCATCGATCTTACCAACGAGTCGAAAGACATCAAACTAAAGGATATTGTTCTTGAAAAAATCACCAGCTTCACATACTTAGGGAGCAAGATAACCTCTGCGGGAGATACAACATCAGAAATAACGACTCGAATCGCGTTAGCATCAAGTGCCTTTAACAAACTGTCAAACATTTGGAAGTCAAGATCACTCAGCAACAACACGAAACTTAAGGTCTTCAATTCCTGTGTCATCCCAGTGCTAACTTATGGTTGTGAGAGTTGGAAATCATCAGTATCAATCGATAAGAAACTAGTCGCTTTCGAGAATAGATGCCTCCGAAAGCTATTGAATGTTCACTGGTCGGACTTTAGGTCCAATACATCTATAAGACAGGAAACAAAACACAAAAATATGTGTCTGATTTTATTAGAAAGCGTCGCTGGAATTACATCGGTCACGTACTCAGAATGGACATACAGAGACTTCCCCACCAAGCCTTCATATGGTCACCAGAGGGTAAAAGAAAACAGGGAAGACCAAAAGAAACTCTCCGTAGAACCATCACAAGGGAGAGCTCAACCATAGGTCTCAGTCGCACTCAAGACCTACATCAAGTGGCAAAGAACCGACAGACGTGGAAAGCTATGACCTCTGCCCTATGCGCCATCTTTGGCACAAGAGGAATAACTAACTAACTAACTATTCGGAGAATAGCCAAATTATTATATTCAACCCTATCAGAGTTCAATATGTGATGATTTAATGAGATGGGTGTTATGATGAAGATTTGATGACAGGGTTGTTTTGGCAAAGATTTTATGACAGGGTTGTTTTGGAAAAGATTTGATGACAGTGGTGATATGGGGACAGGGGTTTATTGGTACAATTTGAAAACAGGAGTATTACTGCAAAGATTTGATGAAAGGGATATTATGGTAAAAAGTTGATGACAGAGGTATTATATTAAAGAATTGATGACAAATGTATTATGTTAGTTGATGACAGAGGTATTATGTTAAAGAGTTGATGACAGAGGTATTATGTTAAAGAGTTGATGACAGAGGTATTATGTTAAAGAGGTGATGACAGAGGTATTATGATGAAGAGTTGATGACAGAAGTATTATTTTGAAGAGTTGACGACAGAGGTATTATGTTGAAGAGGTGATGACAGAGGTATTATGAAGAGTTGATGACAGAGGTATTATATTAAAGAGTTGATGACAGAGGTATTATGTTAAAGAGTTTATGACAGAGGTATTATGTTGAAGAGTTGATGACAGAGGTATTATGTTGAAGAGTTGATGACAGAGGTATGTTAAAAAGAGGTGATGACAGAGGTATTATGAAGAGTTGATGACAGTGGTATTATATTAAAGAGTTGATGACAAAGGTATTAAGTTGAAGAGTTGATGACAGAGGTATTATGTTGAAGAGGTGATGACAGAGGTATTATGATGAAGAGTTGATGACAGAGGTATTATGTTGAATATTTATGAGAGGGGTATTATGATGATGACGTGACAAAGGTGTGGTGGTCCTGTTAGGATTAAAATGCTGATTATATCCATGATGATATTGGTGGTGGTAGTGCCATCACTAGTGATACAACTACCTGGTGATGATATCAACTGGTCTGTGTGGTTATCTCCTGTCAGTTCTATGGACCAAGAATTGGAGCTGTGTTTGCTCACAATCCTGGGGAGGATGCTCCACTTTATCCCTTGCTGTTTGGTGGTGGCCAGGAGAGGAACTTCAGATCTGGGTAAGGAGGTAGTCTCTCTGATTACACATATTTATATCTATATACAGGGTGTCGCGTAAGTTTCTATACCAAGAACAAGTAAAGGGATCAGCAGTGCCAGTGCAAGAATAACTCCAGCTATGCTTTTATGTGTTGTTTAGCAGTAGAAGAAGTGCACTGAAATGTGTTTAGAAAGATTGTAGTCATGTAGAGCATATTAGTTGTTAGGGGGCTGCGTGGTCTTGAGGCATGGTATCCGCCTCGAGTGCTGGAGGTCCCGAGTTCAAGTCCCGGTGAAGGCTGGGATTTTTTTCGTGGACTTCTAGAAATTTCCCCTGGTCTCTGTGTAGTAAGATCGGACACCCATATGTATTGTTGCACACGTAAAAAAACCTTGGCAGTTGGAAATTAAAAAAGAGTAGCCTAACAGTGCTGCCCGGCCAAAATGTGAATTAAAAAATCTACCCAAAGTATTTCAGGATCCTCGCCCGTGCTACGGAGTTCGTGCACTACATTGTGATTCTTCTGACTTTGACTTGAGTCAGAATTAAAACAGAGCACATGGATTACTAGGTCTAAACCTATCTTAATTAGTCTTAACGCTTGAGCCTAAGGTGGCGTAAAGGGCAGAGGTAATTGCTGTCCATGTCTGGTGGTTCGTTGTCACCTGTTTATTAGGCCCATGGTTAAACCTTCCTTGATGATAGTTCTACACAGGGTCTCTCTTGGTTTTCCTTGTTTTCTTTCTTTCTGGTGTCCACATGACGGCATGGAGAAATAAAAACAAATCAGTGTGGCATAAAAGGAAGGGTATTCAGTGTGAGACAGTGAGAGAAAGCGAAGGGTTGTACTAAGTGATCTTTGAAGTGAATCTAAACAGTTGACAGCGGGAGCGAGTATCTGGCCTGGGTGGAGAGAAATGGCTGAGCAGGCGATGGAAGCCTGTTGTTGATAAAAGTTGAGAAGAAATGTTCACTGTGTATCAGTAACCAGAGGCAGTGAATGGCAAGTTAACCCAGATTAACAGATTCGTTAGCTTTTGAGTTGATCTTTGTACAAGATTTGTTTCTAGATGATTTATGATAGGGACCACGCCGACACAACTGATGAAATAGCAATAAACATTTTTGTGTGTAAACTGGTCTTCCTCTTGGTTTTTCATTGATACTAACTCTCTCAGCTGGTGTAGTCCTACAGTTAAACAACGTCGAGTCAAGGCAGATGTTGAGGTTCAGCTTCTTGCTCTTCTGGCTGCCTTGACCATAGACACATTGAAATGTAGAGTTTCTCTGATGTTAATTTTCCATCTTAGGGGGGTTTGTGTGTGTGTGTGTGTGCGTGCGTGTGCATGTGACTGCCTGCCTGCGTCAGGGGTGTGTGTGTGATTTAGTATTGGTTTTATGCTGAGTTTTCTCTCAAGAAGTCATTCCTGATTTCTTCATCCAAAGATGTAAATTCACTGTGCCCATTTAAAGCATGGCTGCAATGTTTGCGCCTTTCGGCAGACACATCTGACTTTTGAAAGCATTTGTCACCACAGTTAGCCTTCCTGGATTCCTGATTTGATCTTTTCTGGTCACTCTTGCAGCCTTTTTCAGGCATCTTATTTCTGTGATTACTAATTTCCTTTTATGTGTGTTTTTGTTAGAGACTGTGTCTGGCATTGGTAGCATGGGGTGGGAATGAATATGCTTTTTATGAGATAGGTTTCTTTGCCTTCAATGGGATTGTCTTTTGATAAAATAATTGCGGGAAGGGTGTGCTAGCTGTCCCAGGAGTATTCATTTTTTTCTCTTGCTGATTGCAAAACATATTGTTATGTTTTTGTTGATTCATTATAACCTGTTTATCTTTGTTGTTTCTCCTGCAGCACAGAGAATACTCCCATGATTGCTGGTTTGGGAAAGGTTTGTATGTTTTTATTTCTTGTTTATGTGCTCCTTACTCTTGTATTTACCCCTTTAAGTGCTGTATAAAGGGGGGGGGGGGGGGGATCCTGAGGATTGCTAGTGCAGCCACCCACAGACTGCAGGTTAGGATTTTTGTGTTGTCTCCCCCAAAGAAATATTTATTGTCCCTTACTGAGGATGGAGCTCAAGTCTACCATGTGAGACCTAAGCGCTGTAACCACTCTGTCAGCCACACATTTTAGAATTGGAGAATGAAGGGGAAAAAGTTGGGAAGGACATAGGATAAGCTGACTGCGGTGGCATGAGTTGGTTGAAGAATGCTTCATTGGCAGAATAACAGCTCTGAAGAACAATTGTATGAATATCAGACTAATGAATTCTGCCTAAACGTAATAAACTGTAGGTATCCAAAAGGTATGAACAACACCTTGCATCAAATTCATTGTGAAATGGAAGATCAAATAGTTCCATCTTTAGAGATGCTTTACCTAAAAAGATCTTTTGTGAGAGCAAGAAGGCACCGCTAAAAAAATGGGCTGATGACAAGACATTATTTATCCACATGAAATGACAACAGCCAGTGTTGCCTATTGAAAACTGGATCGCAAATTGTTTTTTTTACCTATAGCAGCAGAAGTGTTGATGTGTGATGATTGAGAGGCATCTAGATTCTGTAGTCATTCCTATTTGCGTCATTCTTTCTGTGAGCACTTCTGCATTGTTGTGCTTCCAAACAACCTTCATGATATCTGCCTTGTTGTGCCTCATTGTTCCTTCTAGTGGTGCAGAGCCAGCCAACCTGCCTGACTGTTTTCTTCCTAACTCAACAGCACATCTTGGAGTTGTATTGAGTTGAATTAAAAACGGACATGCTTAAAACAGTATCCAGAAAGTGCCCACTACTCTTGACATGTCAGTTGTAAGATTTATGACATTAATAAATACCCAAGTCATGCACAGCTGCCAGTGATTTTCTGCATTTGTGGCCTCGGATATTCCATCTGTCCATTGCTTGCTTGGTTGACCTCTAGCTCTGCTTTCATTATGTATGAGCTCTCTGTGGTGCACTATCTGGTGGTAGTCTTGAACCATCTGATCTGTTGTCACTGAATGTAGTTTAGTGCTGGTTCCGTCCCAACTTCTTTCCTGATATCAACATTTATGATCCTGCGTCTTCTAGTGATATTTAGGATTTCTGTTGGGTTAGATGTTTGTATGTAACCTAGGACTGCCAGGTTGATCAGCCTTAAATAGCTACCAGGTAATGTCATTGGAAGTAAAGGTGGCCAGCATAATGTTGACAACCTCACTCATCACGTGTGATTTTTAAAATTTTAACAAGGGGCTTCAAATGAAAACCTTAGATGTGTGATTAAAAATTATAAAAACCATACATTTGTCTTGAAACTGATCAGTATTGTTGTTAAGGATGTCAAGAGTGATAAGCACATGAAATCACAGTGTAGCCTAGCATGTTGATATCATAAGGATGTTTTAAAGATGGCTGTCCTACATTTGGCATGTGCCAGGTCAGTGAAGAGGTGAAATTTTTAGAAATTCATTTCACATAAATACAGGTCTACACCATCTTCTTTTTTTAAATGCTCTTTTTACTTGTATTTACCACTTTTAGAGTGATGTAGGATAAGGGCGTTGTGAGACTGATGACTTAAGGCCACATATCTAGTGCAGTCACCATAAACTGTGCAAGTTAGGATTTTAATTCTTGCCCCTGACAGAAAAAGTCTTCATTCCTTACTGAGGTTTGAACTTTCATCTCCCACTTGAGAGCAGTACCCAGATCTCTTGACCAGTTGCTGCTTTTATCAGTCATCTGCCTGATTTCTGAATAGGGTCCTTATGTTTTATTTTTGTTTTTTTAAAACTTGTTCCATGATGATGATGCTCCATGCTGATAACGCTCTATGATGATAATGCTCCATGATGATAATGCTCTATGATGATAATGCTCCATGATGATAATAATAATGCTCCATGATGATAATGCTCCATGATGATAATGCTCAGTGATGATGCTCAGTGATGATAATGCTCAGTGATAATAATGCTCTGTGATAATAATGCTCCGTGATGATGATGCTCCATGATGATAATGCTCTATGATGATAATGCTCCATGATGATAATAATAATGCTCCATGATGATAATGCTTCATGATGATAATGCTCAGTGATGATAATGCTCTGTGATAATAATGCTCCATGATGATAATGCTCTATGATGATAATGCTCCATGATGATAATAATAATGCTCCATGATGATAATGCTTCATGATGATAATGCTCAGTGATGATAATGCTCTGTGATAATAATGCTCCGTGATGATGATGCTCCATGATGATAATGCTCTATGATGATAATGCTCCATGATGATAATAATAATGCTCCATGATGATAATGCTCCATGATGATAATAATAATGCTCCATGATGATAATGCTCAGTGATGATAATGCTCAGTGATGATAATGCTCTGTGATAATAATGCTCTGTGATGAAGATGCTCCATGATGATAATGCTCTATGGCGATAATGATATTTGATAATAATGCTCCATGATGGTAATGTCACATGATGATAATTCTCCTTGATGATAATGATGCTGTGTTGTTCATTCACTTGCACTGCAGTGACTCAACATCACATATTCTCTCCATCCAGGCAGCTGAGCTGGTGAGCAGCAACTTGGACAAGTACCAGACTCATATGGCCACAGTTCGAGACTACCTGGAGGAGAGTCTACAGGTAGGGTACATAGAAGATGACTGTTAATCAGGCAGAATGATGGGAATACCAATTGTTAAATGATTTTTAGTCCCCCCATTTGGGGGAGAGGGCAGGGAGAGACTCACTGTCCCCTTAATAATATTGTTAAAGATGGCTAATTGGGGTTTCACTAAAAGCATGTTGTAAGAGTTGACTAATTGGGGAGTTTCCTTTGAAGTCAGAGTGCATCTACCTGAGAGGCAAGGTACCAGCAGTCTGCATTCAGGTGAGTCAGATGTGTAAAACTGATGCACATGTAACAGTCAGGTTCTGGAGCAAGACTGCAGTTCAGAAGTGGACGAACAACCAGAACTTTCCGCCAGAGTGTACAGCTGGTGATCGGGAAGAAGAAGAAGAAGAAAGGGCCATGAAAAGCCTTAGATATTGCAACTTACCTGTAAAGTACAACATAATGTGCTAGCCACCTTTTTAGGGGAGAGTGAAGAAGAAGATGATGATGAAACACTTTGTAGGTAAGATGGTTGTTGACCATATGATTTGCAGGTAGGATAGCTGTTAACTAGACAGTTTAAAGGAAAGATTATTGTTGACCAGTTTGGAGGGGAAATGGTTGTTGACCAGACTGTCTGGTGATTGGATTGTTGTTGTCTAAACTATTTAGCAGTAGGATTGTTGTTCACTAAACTGTTTAGAGATTTCATTGCTGTTAACCAAACTGGCAGTAGCTTTGTTGTTAACAAAACCTTTTAGAGATTGGATTATTGTTGTCCAAACTGTTTAGCAGTAAGATTGTTGTTCACCAAACTGTTTAGAGATTTGATTGTTGTTGACAAAACCTTTTGGAGATTGGATTGTTGTTTACCAAACTGTTTGGCTGGAGGATTGTTGTTAAACAAACTGTTTGGCAGGAGGATTGTTGTCAACCAAGCTGTTTGTAAGGATAATGGTTGTTGGTCAAACATTTTGAAGGTATGATGGTTGTTGACCTAATAGTTTGGAGGGAAGATGGTCATTAACTGAACAAAATATGAAGTCTTTAGTTGATAACTCTTTTGAGTCCCAGAGGGTTTAGCATCACAGGCCCAAGGGGTAGTCAAGACAGACGTAAAATCGGCTTATTGTGCGTTCATTGGGCTTCTAGGCAGAAACCTATGAACGTATGATGCGTTCCTTGGGACTCTGAGAGTTAAGCAAGCGAATGGAAGTTGTGTGGTTGCTGACTATGCAAAGAGGAAGGAGGATATTTATTGATCAGACAAAATGGGAAGGGTTTGTTTTTCGCTAACCAAAATGTTCTTGCTAATCGACTATTAAAAAAGAGAAGGAAGACATTTTTTTCCAAAAATTCTCATTATCATCTGTTCTTGAATGAAAGAATCAATTAATTAAAAATGGACTCCACTCAGGGTATTCCCACGTGTGCACTGTTCATCCCTCAGTAACCAGTGAGGAATTCCCAAACTGACAGTGCCAGTTGCAGCCTGGTTAAAAGACTGCCTGTCTTTTTCTCTGAGCATTGAGAAAGTTATATAATTGAACAACTGGCTAGTTGATACATGTGGACATTTGTTAACCAAATCTTTGTTTTATCTTTCAGCAAACTTTTCCAGATTCTGTGAGCCTCAATGGCAAGTCACCAGATAGCCAGCGGTTACCCAACACCTGCAATGTTTCCTTTCTAGGGACCTCATTGAAAGGTAAACACTCACACCTCAAACTTGGCAGCTTTTGTCCAGCTTTTCATGCCATTAGGCAAATGCCTAGTCTGACAACAGTCTTACAATGTTTACGTGTGAGCTGGTGAATTACCTTATATAATAATTTTACGTACGTATAGCCAACTTCTCATGCCCGACTACTTCCATCAGCGACAGAAGTGGTAACGACTATTGGCTTTGGTGTCTCTAACAACTGCCGTATGCATTTATTGCGTGGGCATATTTCTGGATTGTTCCGGGACTAATTGTTTGATTAACAAAATTTTCAGATGCCACAGTGAGGGGCATTTCATTTGATTTCAAGTGGCACAGGAACAGAGCAAGTATGGGGAATCCCAATTGCAGTGATGGTGAAACCTTGACTAAGACTAAGACAGTGTGGTGGTAAATCAGTACCATGTTAAACAACTGTCATTACTGTATTCATTCAAAGAATTGTGCGGTGTATCCGTTGGAGGACTTTTGTAAATGTGGGAAACCCCATGACATCATAAAAGGTTCATGAGAGGAACGGTTAAGAGGTCAGAGGCCAGTTAGGAAAGATGAGCACTAGAAGAGACTTTATTACAAGAAAATTTGTGTGCACATGTAAAGGAAGTTTGACGAAGTAAGTGAACTGTGGTGGAAAGGGAATAAACTGAGGCGAGAGAAAGGGAGAGGCATTAGGTGTGAGACCAGCATGAGCAGAGGCTGTCTGTATGACTGAATACTTATAGTGAAAGAACTTTCATGTTGGTGATTACCTTGACAGTGGGAATAATCAAAAATGAATGACTGCCGAGTGCTGAGCAAACTGAGCAGATCTTCTGATGTGTACTCGAGGAAAAGTGCCTGAATGTTAACTCGGCTGTGTATGTTCGGGGAACGATTCAGGTGATCAAATAACCTTTAGATAATGAACTGACAAACTTGGACCGAGCTATACTATTTGAACTATTTCGTTACCAGTTAAACATTCATCGTAACTTTCATGTTGGTACAGTCTGACTGGCAAGACACAGAGACTTTACAAGTTTCTGGAAACTGCACAGCAAGAGAACATAAATCAGCAGCATTGCAACACATTGAAAAACTGACCCCACCATTTGTTGGCTGGAATCAGACCAGGTATTTTGGAACTAACTAGCACGTTCGCACTACTGTGCCACAGACACTGGCGCATTTGTTTATGTATGTTCAGTGGATCAAAATCAAGGCACATGGGTGTAACCTGAAAGTGCTCTGTTCTTCTAACTCAAGCCTGAGTCTGGAGAACCTCAGCGCAGTGCACAAACTCTGTAGCACCGGCTAGGATCCTGAAAGACTTTTAGTAGATTTTTAGCTCAAAATTTTACCTGGGCAGTGCCACTAGGCTACTCTTTTTTATTTCCACCTTCAAGGTTTTTTTTTAAACGAGTGCAACAATACACACGGGCATCCGGTCTTACTACCCAGAGACCAAGGGGAAATAACTAGAAATCCATGTAAAAAAACCTGAGCCTTCACCGGGTCTTGAACCCAGGACCTCTATCACTCCAGGTGGACACTATGCCTTGAGACCACGCAGCCCCCCTGATGTCTTCGTTAAACAATATAGATAAATTATAGAGTGAGTTATAGACAGGAAAGGAGTATTAGGAAGGTGATGTTAGTCTTTTGTGTCATCTCTGTTGCCAGGTCACGAGATCTTGTCTAGAGCTGTGTCAGTTCAAGCAAGTGTGGGAGCTGCATGCCATGCTGGGGACAGGTACAGTAAATCTGTGTGTTATCTTCATCAATAAATATTGTTATTCTAATAGCAGATACAGCTCGCTTGTCAGCCTGAAAGTCTAGGGTTCAAATCCACATCAAGCAGATTTTTTTTTTCAAATTTGACCTTGCTGCCAGGTTGACCAAGCTTACACTGGGTATCGGGTAAGGTCCTGGGAAGTAAAGGGGGCTGGCATGATGTTGACCATATCACTGATTGGGTGACAATTGATCAATGAAAATATGTGTCTAGCACTCCATGCCTGATGCACCAGAGGTGTGAAGTGAAAGACTTATTTACTTTTGTAGCAGATACTGCCGTTGGCGTGGGAAGTACAGAGTCTCCTTGACTTAACAACTGAATTCTGTTCCACCTTACAGACCGAAAGTTGAATGTATGTTTTTCAGTACTATTTTTGAAATGCATAAACTGCATTATCAAGTCGCTGTGCAACTATCTGCCGGAAATTCAAAATCGATCACGCGATTACATGGTAACAAATTGATCATGTGATACAGTCAAGTCCGCTTGAGTCGAACTTGGACATGTCGAATGTCAGTTAAGTCGACATGACCAGCTTAGTCCCGGCAATTTTCTCTATTGTGTGTGCTGTCTGGATAAGTAGAAATCCTGATAAGTGGAAGCATTTTCTTAGGTCCCTGCGACTTCTACTTATCCAGACTTGACTGTGCTTCTGTTTACATAGCAAAGGAGAGTAGAGTTTTATTGTTACAGCCTTGACCTCTTTTAGCAAACGTGTGTTCAGTGTGTGGTTAATACCATTTTTATTCAAACAGGTTATACATATTATATAAAAATGCAAAAGTGCATTCTCTGTACATAAAATTACTGCAGATAGGGTGAAAAATACATATGTACTTTATTGTATTACTGTAAATAAAAACCTGAAATTACTATTTTTTAAATCTTTTTTATTTTTTGGGGGTAGTAATGTTGATGATTATAAATTGCATGTCAGAGAGAAGGTGTATTAGGTGTTCACACATCACAGGCCACGAGGTTTGAGAGTGGATGGCCAGTTGTCTTTCTTTATTACCTTTCCTACTCAAATAATTGTCTTTGTATGTTGTACGACTTTTTCTGGCATGAGTTTATTTTATCTCTTCTAATCATTCCTGCAGCCCCTCTCAGACCATGCATTGCCATGGTTACTAATTTTTTTAATGATTTGTTGTGAGTGACTACATCTGGAGGTGGTAACCCTGAGCAGATTGTCAGTCATGAAACTTCTAGAAAGAATACCAGGAAATACTCAAAAAGGTAAAGGTGGCTGGCGTGATGTTGATGACGTAAGGCCACAGAGTGCGGATTTTTTCCCCCTTCAAATATGAGCATAGCATCGTATGCCGAATGTGCAAAAATAAAGGACTATTTGTTCCTTTTAAACTATTTCCTTATGACAAAGTTAACTTTTTTTTATTCTAATGTTGTTTCACTTTTAGCATATGCAAGTGAAAGCTTGAGAACCACTAAGGAAATGTTAAGTGCAATCGAAAACAAATGTCTAAACAAAATAATGACAGTAAAATGGGATGAATCCAAAAGGAGTAAATAAATAAATGTCTGGGCAACCACTAGTTTCAACAGCTGAGGCAGCGCAGATGGCGCTACATCAGACACATCCTGAGAAGAAACCAGCAGAGAATCACCAAACAGGCATTACAATGGGAAATAAAGGGATTATGGAGGTTAGGACGCTTACAAGAAACCCTAAAAGAAATGTTAATGAGAGTTGCCAAAGCTGCTGGACTGGATTCATTCTGTGATATAGAACTGATTGCAGAGGATACAAGTGAATGGAGGAATAGACTATGACCCCTATGTGACGTATAATGGCATAAGAGGAAATGAATGAATGAAAATTGAATGAATTTGCTTGTGCCACTGGCATGAAAAAGATCCTTTGTTCTTTATTAATATCCTACCCCGGATGACGTCACAGGACAGTCCAATATTTTGGAGGGTGGTAAGACTGGGTTTCTCGGCTTTTTGATGCTTTTGATGACCCCAAAACATCTAGAACTGGCTCTAACCACAGCCCGACTACGTCCCACTAGAGGATGCAGCCTAGGTCCTACTACTGCATGCAGCCTATCTACCACCCCCTGAAATATTAGACTGTCCCGTGACCTGTGGATTTTCCCCATTTGGGGTAGGATATCAATAAAGCACTAGGATCCTTTACTTTACTAACTGCTCTTATTTTCATAACTGGGCTGAACTTTTTAACTGTTAACCAATTTTTATTTTTATTTTTCTGATTCAACCATCCTCAGACCATCTCACATTTTACTATCACTTGGAATTCCTGAAACTGTCGCCTGGCGAGCCCTGAGAATATCCGTGGGAAGGGAAACCACAAAAGAGGACATTGATTTGGCAGTACAGGAGTTGAAATCAGTGCTTGATTCTTGATGCAGCTTTTGGAACATGTAACTCGTAACCACAGTTTTGGTTCTTTTGTAACCACAAACATGTTAGTGTTTGGTTCATTGTTTAGCTTATTTAATTTTTTTTTTAGTTCACTGTTTATTATCTCTTTTGTTAGCGGGTTGCGTGGTCTCGAAGCAAAGTGTCCGCCTCAAGTGCTAGAGGTTCCGGGTTTAATCCCCAGTAAGGGCTGAGATTTTTTCACGTGGATTTGGACTTCTAGTAATTCCCTTTGGTCTCTGGGCAGTGAGATCGGATGCCTGTGTGCATTGTTACGCGCATAAAAAATCCCTTGGCAGTTGAAAATCAAAAAGAATAGCCTAACGGTGCTGCCCGGGCAAAATGTTGAGTTAAAAATCTACCCGAAGTATTTCAGGATCCTCGCCGGTGGTACAGAACCTGTGACTGTGCTGAGCTTCTTCGGACTCAGACTTGAGTTAGAAGAAGAACGGAGAACTTATGGGTTACACATGTGTGCCATGATGTTGATCTGTTGTTCGAAACTTCAAAAACCTCAAACCTATCTCTTTCAGTCCCATACAGCGCACAAATGTATCACTGCATTTACTCATGTGCACCAGTCACAATATTATTATACTTTATTTTTAGACTGGGCATAGTAAAAAACCCAACAACACACCAGTCTCCTACAAGGGTTGTTTATTGTGTGTTTAGCTCCTGTGAATGTAGTATACCCATAATTTTATTGATGACTTTATTTTCTCGTTGGTATTCAGTTATGACCTTCTGAGACTGAAGGAGTTTTATTTAGCACTTGTGGCTAAAGGGTTGTTGATGCAGTTTTAATTTTGAATTACCCTGTTCAATTCAGCTGCACCTAATATGGCAGCAGACCACTTTGTGATGATTAAATGTTGAATATTGAATTAGGAATCGCCATCACAGCACTTGGAACACCCCCATAGGTGCTCCGTTGCCATCTTCAGCAACAAACGAAGAGTTCCAATTCCGAATGTGCCGGTAACTGTTTGATTTTATGTTCATCTCGCACTTCCTTTGAGTAACTCCCCAGCAGTGCAATTTTCCCCAGATGGTACTGATCTGTTGGTGCCACCGGACTGTTCAGTCGCTCCCAAAGGACCCTATCAAAATCTAGCTTGTCATACATCAGTTCACCACCAAGTGGTGCAGAACCGGCCAGTCTATCTGCTTGCTCATTTCCCAACACACCGGCATACCTAAAGAAAATATCCAAAGGTCAAGAACTACCCGGGACATCTGAAGTGGTGCTTGCTACTCTGCACTGAGCATGCCTATCTCCACCTTTCTTAAAATTTCTGTGATTCAGTTACAATCATGGCATGTGTGCACAGCTAATTCTCAAGCGAATGGAAGGCAGCAGTTACTCCCTCCACCTCCATTCTCAAACTAGACGTTGTGTTGATTTTTAAAATGGTATTGAGAGCCGACCATAAAAAATTGATTGGTAAAGTGTTGCACATGAAATTGTTTTGTAAAACCAGTCAACAAATTTTAGGGTTGGATTGCAGTGTCCTGAAAAGGATATGCAGCTAAATTTTGAAGAAACTATATTTATATTTTTCTTTTCTATATTGCTTTATTATTTGGTTCATTTTTCAACTCTTTCAGTTCATTGTTTATTAAAGTTACCTTTTTAGGCTTTTTTCAGTGTTTCATTGATAACCACATACATTTTAATGTTTAACTCATGTGTAACCATACCTAATATTTAGTTCATTATCTAAACAGTTCATTGTTTAGAATTGTGTTACTGTTTTAGTTCATTGGTAACTAAAGAATTGTTAGTTTTTGGTTGGTAACCACAGATAAGTTAATATTTAGTTTATTTCATTGTTTAACCGATTATCTGTTCAGTTCATTGTTTATTACATTTTACTTTTTAGACTATTTCATTGTGTAGGTAATTTCAGCATTAACCTTCTTGCAATGTGTGGTTAATTCAAATTACGAAGTATGCTAAATGGCCTCTTTTGTGCCATTGATTCAGTGAGCATATTATGCTAGAATCGTATTGTAATAGACCAGTTGACACCACATGGGTGGTGTAATCAGAGTCAAACTGACCACCTTTACTTCCCTTAAAGCAAGCTGGCAAGCATCTAGGGCAGGGCTGTTCAACTGACAGCTCATGGGCTGAATCTGGCCTGCAAAGGCATTGCAAGTGGCCCACTGATCTTTGCCAGTTATGTTGTATTAACTGTCTTTCTATGCTGTGAGTAAATTCAGTTGAAGAGCCCTTGTCAAGGGTTTATTTTAATATTTGGATTTCATTTAATTTAGAGTGCCCCTCTGTGGCCTAGAGATCAGTGAAACAGATTAACGGTTGCTAGGTTTTGCTGCGGATGTTGTAGTTTTTTTTTAAATTCTTGTTTTCAGATGATGACAAGCAGTTTGATATTTTCGAATGACTATTCAAGTGGTTTCATGACCCTGAGGTGCTAGGTTTTTGTGTTTTTTTAAATGACGATACTAGAGTTGCCAAATAGAATAAATTAGGGCTTCATCACTTGATGTTCCCAAAGACAGCATGGGTGCCCTGTACTCTACCTTCATTGTGGAGACTGCACAAATTAGTTTTTTCAGCTTAATGTTCTATTTAGAGATGACCAAGGGATTAAAAAATTCAGTTGGTAGTTATGGAGCTGGCTTTCTCTGGACTCCTGTAGACAGCAACATTAAGACAAAGAAGTTCATAGTGGTATCTTTTTCTTCTGTCTTCATCTGAGGATGTAATTGTGTTGTGTCCATTTTTGGCATGGCTGCAATATTTGCACCTTTAGGCCAAAACATCTGCAATTCTTGTTTAAAGGCATTTGTTGCCAGGGTTAGCCTTCCAGGTCGTCATAATAAAATTAACCACTGCTGTCAAAAATAAAACTGAATGGTTAGCAGTGGAGCTGGCCTCAAATTCCAATGGCCATGTGGCCATTGTAACGTGTACATCTGTAGCCTTCTGTTTTGTATATTTTTGACACAAATGTTCTTCCACTTATCAGTCAACAAAGAACTGGCACTACTAGCAACCAGATGCTGTGGTTCATACTGAGGGAAGGATCTGAGCATCTATGGACATGTGTGGAGTGCAATGATCATGTCCCAACTAACTAACTAACTAACATGTTTTTCCGAGGACAAAAGGATGAGTGTCGCAGGCAGGTCACATAGTGGCAGATTAATGCGACACTTGCAGTCACAATGAATTTGTTATCTTGAATCTGGTGTGCAGACTGGGGAACAGCAGGAGAAAGAAACATGAGAGTCACGATCGACCGGCTCTTCTGCCCTGAGAGTTTCATCATCATTATCATCATCATCATCATCGTGAATGAACGAACAAACAAAATTTATTTTTAAAGTGTGAGAAATTTTTTGCACAAGCCAGTTTTATATTTCGCCTATTTGAACAACTCATCTTCCTGACTGCAGTTGTATTTTAGCAGTAAAACATATTATGTTCATAAAACAATGTACATAATATGAATATCAGTTTAAAAATCCAAAAGCGTGGATGGTAATGCCTGCATTCAGATATATATATGTGCATTTAACACATACACACGCACGCATGCACATGCGCACACACACACCTATTCATATATACACTCTCATACATATCCCAACATATATACTCTCATAATACACATACATACATACATGCATACGCACATGCACGTTCATATGTATGTAAAAACATACGTACATAAGTACGTACGTACAACATACATTCATTCACACACATACATACATACACACACACACAATATAAATTGTTAACATTTTCCTTTAAAACCACTTTTTTCAAGCTTCATTAAACATTATGGCTTGAAAACTAATTAATAATAATTACTATTTATAATAAATAATAATTGTAGAAATCGAGTAATTGTAATACATTGTCTTCCTTTTAATATATCTTCTTTTGTCAAAATCTGCTTGTGCCGCTAGGCGTCGCAGTCTATCAGATGATCGGCAACCGAGCCAGGGCGCGCTCAGTCGCTTCATATGCCGTGATGTTATGAAGTCTCAAGTTGTCCGTGATTCCTTCAATCCATCTTCTTCTTGGTCTTCCCCTGCCTCTTGGTGTTTCGATTTTCATGTTGTATGCTCTTGATGCTGGCATCGTTGGTTCCATTCTCACTAGATGACCAAACCATTTCATTCTTTGCTTCTCAATAAATTTAACGATGGGTATGGTTCCAATAGTTCTTGTAATCACATCGTTTCTCACTCGATCTCTTCTGGTTTTATTCGCAGCCATTCTCAAACATCTCATTTCACAGGTGGTTAGTCTTTTCTCGTGTTCTTTTGTTAATGTCCAAGTCTGACATTGATAACCTAATGTCGGTATAAAGATTGTATTTATAATTTGTCTTTTTATCTCAGCTGGGACAGCAGGGTGTTTTAAAATTGGGGCAAGCTGGTATGCGACATTGTTTGCTTGTTGGATTCTTGCTTCGATCTCTGTCTATTTTACCATTGAATGTAAAGATACTTCCCAAGTATTTAAATTTTTAATATATATAAGGGTTAAAAAGACACAGTGAACGAAGATCAGGTCCAAATAATGAATGCAATAGCTTTACACAACCTGCTTAAGAATAACTTGTTCCTAATGTTATTTATTATTATATTCTGCAGCACAAAGCATCATTGAATCATTGTATCATAATTAATGTTATTAAAATAGTAATACAACCCTAATTTGTAGTGCATCATGTTGTTATGTCGTTATATAGAACATAAGGCTCTCAATATATTCCTCCATGTTTTTCAGTCCTCTGCAGTCTTTTCCATTTCATAGATGGAATTCAGTCCAGCACCATTAGCCTCCCTTGTCAGTGTTCATTTTAGGGTTTCTCTTGGGCATTATTTGTCCTCAATCCATTTGTTTCGCAAGTTCCTGAAGTAATTTTTTGTAATTCCAGGGTGCTGGGTTCGATTCCAGCCGCGGGCCCTACACCTTGCGTTGGTTTCGACAGTGG